TAAGAATACATAAACTAAGAACATATAAAACGGTATAACAAATAGTTGATAATACAATTTACCTAACAAGCCCAAATCTGTACCTACTTTTATTACTTATTTTGTTTTGTGAAATTTTAGAAAAGGCTTGATCAAGCAATATTACTGAGAGAATAGTCAACATTATGTATGAAACAAACTGATCCATTTGTTATTAACCAATGTCTTAAATAAATTTAAAACCTAAATAGAATATTCTACAATTTAATAAGAAAAGTAGGGAAGACCCTGAAAAAGCCAGTCAGGTGCTTCTACATGATTGGAACAAAAAAAAAAAAGAAAACAAAACTTTTTGTCTATACTTCCAACTGTTTTAAACTTTAGAGTCCACAGCTCCAGTTTCATTGACTGTGCCCAAAACAATGTGATCTTTATTAAAACAATGTCATAACCAAATTAAGGGTAAACAAATTAACATATAACTGCAGTCCTTAACGTGTGACTAACTCCTAAGTCAACTTTTTTTTTTGCTGATGAACTGCCTAATGAGTTGTTTTTGATTCTATCCTTATGTTTCTGCAGGATTTTTGATTTTTTTACATAAATTTGTTTAGTTCCCTTTGGCCAGTTTGGAGCTGGAGTAGCGAGTGTTGCCATGGTGAGCACTGATGATGGCATTACTCAGTGCTACAAAAAGTGTGATTTATTTGCTATGCGCAGTGTAAATGGGTCTCTTCTGCTCTGACTATGGTTGAGGGTATAATAATAAAATGCTCTCATCTTTTATCATTTGTATTTTAACCAAAGATGAATGTTTTCATTTGAGCTGAGTATTATATTAGAAACGAGAACATATCTGACTTGATTAGATCAGTACGATGAGCTTTGTTTATGGCGACAACCAAGGCGGTCTGTATCTGAATGAATTAGGAAACATTTGCTGGATCAGTAATGAAGCACCTTTAGTTGATCTCTGCAGTTATACCTTTAAGCCAGAGTGTGGTATTTACGTGCTCGATGGCGCTCTACATTCACCCAGGTGGGTGTTAAACGGTGAGGAGCAATGCCTGCAGAGAGGCTCGCTGTTTCTGCTCCACCTTGACAGAGTCCAACTGATATTTGCTATAAACACACCCAGAAAGCTGTCTGACACACTCGGGAGACCACTCGCTGCAGCTCAGACAGATTCCACTCTAGTGCTGGGTTTGTGTTCGGCTCTGTCTCCATGTGGACGTTGGATCAGCTGCATTGTTGAATGTCAATACAAGCTGCAGAACAATCCACAGTCAGTTCCCAACAGAACTCTGAGTGTGGATGTTGAAACTGAACATTTGCACCCTTATTTAGAAAAGTCCTTGGCTGATAAGGGTACATGAAGGCCACAACCGAGATGAAATTCAGACAACAGAGATGGTAAATGCATTGTTTATGACCTTTGAGTTCAACACTGTGCTCATTTTATAGCCTCAGTGCTTAAGAGAGGGTAAAGTCTTGGTTGCTGATTCGTAAACCGGAAAAGTGACTAACATATTTGTTCTCAGAAATGTGGTGTGTGTGTATGTGAGCTAGATCTAGTGGCTTGGAAGAATAAATATCATCCTATTTACTAGCTCAGCTAACCTTTTCTTTAAGTGGGATTGTGAGGGAACACTGTTAGTAGTCAACATCTCACCTGTAATAAAGTCAGAACATGCCTCAGCACCACAATACATGAATGATCTACTGCTGTTGCTGTATCAACCTTCCAGACCCCTCAGGTCTTCTGGTTCTGCTCTGATTTTTTTTTTCCTTTTTAGGCAGACCTGTGAAAACACAGTTGAAGTAATCAATGAGACTAAAGATAAATGCATGGAGGAGTTTCTCTGGATCTTGCTGGGAGCTAAAATCATACCAGTTTCTTAAATCAGTGAGGTTTGAACAGCCTCAGTCCTCAGTGATTGAGGCTGTTCAGTCCCAGTCCCTTGAGTTTCCTGTGGAAACAAACGAAACATAGCCAAGTTCTGCTGTCGTACGTCTTCAATTTGATTTCACTGAAGGTTTAAGTGATCGTCGTCGATCATGAGACTGTGAGAGCCATCATAGTTTGAAGCATGCAGCACTGGATCTTGATGTTATTTTTGCTGTATTTGTTTACATGCTTGATAAAAATGATAAACAGGACAGCTGTAATGAGTGGGCCTTTCTGAATACATAATTTCTCTGTAAGCCTGTTTGTGTGTCCTTGCCTTGTAAAAGCCTTGAGGAAGCAGCTGAAGCATTAAGCTTCATTGAGTCTTTGCCGTATTTCACATTATCAAGGAGAAGTTTTGTCTGCATTGAGTAATAATGAAGGAATTTACCCTTTGGTTAGAATTATTGCGTTAAGATCCAGTCTTTAACATCTTCTGTTTGTGTGGTTTCAGGTTGATGTTGATCACTGACTTGGCTGCCACGGTAAGCTTCGTGGAGCTGTGTGAGGAAGTGAGAACAATGTGCAGCGTTGCTAAGCAACAGCCCATCACACTCAAGTGGATCGATGATGAAGGTGAATGAGCTTCATGGTCAGATTCCATATATCCGTTTGACTTCTGCTGAGTTTGTATATTCTCTTCTGAGTACTTCTGCAAACTGAAGTCGTCTTCCTGGGCTTCCTGGATCGGCCGTTTCACAAGTCATCACCATCACAGTGCACTTGGAAATTATTTTATGTCTTGCATCTAAAATTATACTAAGCTTGTTGACCCATCACAAAAATAAGACTTCAGACTCAACTTGGACTCAGACTCCTGGTCTGAGATGCAAATCTTGGTCCCAGTTTTATCTTAATCTAAAACTTATTGATACTTAACAAGTTTGAAGTATTTGCTAAGTATTCATCTTTATTGCGTGTTACAGTTTAATCTATCATCTCCTGCCCCATCCTACTTTAAATGCACCAGTTACTCTCTGTGGATTACCTCAATTGAATGCCCCTGTCTTGCTGCCCTTAAAGCTCTCAGGTTCTCTCCAGTCCTCAGCCAGATCGTCTGCAGCCCTGCCTCAGCCTTCAAGCCAGCTGTTCTCTTTGTGATTTGCTTGCCTGCCTTTGGAAGATTAGGGACTGTTTTTGACCCTGCCTAAGTCGTTGCCCCTTAGTCGTTGGTTGTATGCCTGTTTGGATTGCTTTGTGTTGTACGACTCCTGCTCTCTGTCTGACTAGCCGTTTGAATTCTGGATTTTGTATTTAGTATTTGGATTCTGGAGTTTAGATCTGGATTAGATTCTGGATTTGTGTGGACCAAGTTACCCCTCATTTCCACTAGAGGAACTTTGAGTTTGTGTATTCTTCTCTGAGGACTCCCAGGATTCTTCAGAGTACCCTAAGGTGGAACAAAACAAAACAACACCATAACATGATGCTGCCACCCCTGTACTTCACAGTATTTTTCCTTCAAATGTGACCTGTTTGTGTTCACAGGAGACCCTTGCACTATTTCCTCTCAGATGGAGCTGGAGGAGGCTCTTAGGATTTACAGCAGAAGCAAGACATCTGGACTGCTGCTGCATGGTGAGTTCCTTCCTCAGTTGCTTTCAAACTGGACATTAAGGCATTTTGTCTTGGAGCATCATAAAGATTTGGAGGCAAATTATCATTAAATCATAATTTCAAAAACTCCTCTTGTTTCTAACCATGTAATAATATCCAGACTGGGGATGTAAACAAACAATTGACTTACAATGAATTGTCAATAAATTGTTTATTGGATTAAAATTAATTTCATTCAGTTATTTGGAATCAGAATTTACATTGCTGTTTGGCTTATGCAGTTATTACTGATTATAACTAATCATTATTGATTAATAAAAATAAATTATTTAGTTTAAGTGGCACCTATCCTGCAGTCACCCCCACAGCATTATCTAACCATTAAAAAAAAAGTATATTTCTCATTTTTTGAAATGATCTTTCCCTTCTACTGGTGCCCAAAGGCCTATTTGTATTAAATTTGTGATTTTCCCCCCCTTCTTCTTTTGTTTTGTTAATAATCAAAAGTTTGTGGTCCAACCTGATCCTCAGTAGAAGACAGCCAAACACTTTAGACCAGCTCTTTATTGTCTCTAGCATGTTGCTATGAAATAAAATAACAGTGAAATAATTACTATTTACTGAAAACGTTAAAAATAACAACTTATTCTTGAAATGTTCATTTGTATAAATATGTATTTTACGACACTTTAGTTGATTAATCTGTGGCACGTACTTGGTGGATCTAATCATGTTGTATTTACTGATGCGACATGTTTAGATGTTTCTTCCAGTTCTTCTACTTTCTTGGCAACTTTAGCCTTTCAATCAAAGCCTAATTTCTTCTATCACTTTCCAGGAAGAAAATCAGTATTGTTTTAAAGAACTGTAAGAGTATCAATAAATCTTGTCCTGGTCTGTAACTAATGTTTTCATTTTTATATTTGTTGCTGCCATTACATATAAGTCACTCTTGCTTTTTAGAACTTGAGTGCAAAATAAATCAGTAATGTGTTTGTTTGGAGTGTAACCTCTGAAACTCTTTTTGTCTCTTCTAGTTTTCCCCAGCGCTCCAGAGCAGCCAGGCATGCCCTGCCCTGGAGAAGACAGTAAGAGGATTCTTTAGCCCTCCTTTTCACATTTATTTCAACTTTGCACAGTTTTTTTCAGCTGCAGCTGAGAGGCAGCCAATCGTAGAACTGTGTAAATGTCAGCAGTATGTGCTTGGGACTTGATCAGAGATAACATGCAGGTCATGCAGACTGTTCAGCTCCTAAAGCAAGTAACAAAGTGACCTAATATGTGGATATTGCCGGTTTTCCTTTGAACTTTCTCTGTAAGGTTCTATAATACTAAAAACTTTGGGTCATCTGACTTTACTCGTATATAAAATCCCAAGACTAAGACTGGAATATGCTCTGACCCATCATTTGAAGCTCCAACTATTCTGGAGACGAGGCTCAGTAGCAGGTTTATGTAAATTGACCGTTCTACCAGAACGTCATTATTGAGGTCAGATACTGAATGACAGTGCCTGGCTCACAACCTTCAGTTGAATGCTTCCCAAAAGTGTTTTAATAAAAAGTTCAACACACTGCTATGCAGTTATTACTGATTATTATAGGAAGATTCCTCCACACTAAAGCCACTCATCAATGTCCTTATGGACCTTTTTCAGTTTCAGTGCTGAAACTGAAGGGACCGTCTACCGTCTCTCCACCAGAATGAAACGGCCCAGAATGTCTGGGTATCCCGAAGCATTAAGATTTTCTTTACCTGAACTAAACGCCTCGGCCCAACTCCTTACAAACAGCCTCATGTCATAATCCTCCTTCCAGCAAACTTCATACTTGACACGATGCAGTCGGGTGTGTGCTGTTCGTCTTGAAGCGGCCAAATCAAGATTCTCTATTAGAATTGCAGACAGAGACAGGATTTGTCAGAGAACTGCTCCACTGCTCTGGAGTGCATTGGCAGTGCAGAAACCATTTTATGAAGCTTTCTAATACATTTTCTTGAGGTATTGTGAAGGTGACATGACCTCTGGAGGACTGTATTGACTTTGTAGAGAGTTGGCAACCTCTGCGTGCTCTCAGCCCACTCTCTGATTCTATTCTACTACTTGGTGGTTGACCTGTTGTTGTTCCCAGTCACCTCTGTGTTATGACACCACTAAGATTTGACTGTGGCATATTTAGCAATGAGGAAAATTTAGCAAGATGATTTATTGGATTGGCAACATTTTATATTTTGCATTCATAGTACCAGCTTGGTACTATCAATCCTGGTATTAGAGTGATCCTAATCTTTCTTGATGTTAGTAGAAGCAGTAAGGAAGTCTGAGATCTTATTTCCACATTTCTGCTGTATGCTTGAGATCGTTTCAGCTGCAGCTGCAGCTGTTTCTAGAGCCCCATGCAGCTGTTTCTAGAGCCCCATGACTCTAGAAACAGGTAACAATCATGTTAGCATGAAAGTGACTGGGATGCCTGTCGCTTGTAGAGAGCTACTACTGGATTGGATCCATTTACACAGATACGTAAATATTGACCCAGAACAATCAGCCTCGGCTAAACCGTCTGCATCTATCTGTATGCAAGCAGAGAAATACAGCTCAGAGAAACACTGCAAACATTGATAATGAGTTTAAACATTGATAATGAGTTTAAACATTGTCTTTCATTTTGACTTTGATCAATGCAAAAAGATATAAAAAACTGTGTAAAATGTTGTGATTAACAATGTTTCCAGCCTTCAGGCTTACAGATCAAGCACTTCTAGGCCATCAGATTGGGGTCTTTGTATCGAGAGGATAGGTCTGCGTCCTGTTATCCTTGTAATGTTAGAACATAAACATGAATTTCTAAAATGTTGGAAGTAACCTAGTGTTTGTTTGATCAAGAACTGGTTTGTTCCAACAATGTCCTGAGGACTAGGCAATGAAATAACATTCTACGTAGAAGTTAAGCTAGTACTTAAATTATATTCAACACAATTTCCTTTGGACACTGCACTCGAAAATGACTTGGAGGAGCAAAGGGCATGCTGTAATTAAAAGCACCGGGTTTGGTCTCTGAGGGACATAAATGTGCTTATCCAATTTCATGGTGGCCTTCTTATCAATGTGATGTACATTCTGCAAGTTGAACAGTTGAACCTCAAACACCGGGATTCGCTGCAGTAACTGGCTTTCAAGATTACATTTTTAGAGAAGTTTAATTGCTAAGATCAGGGAAGCAAATATGGAATTTGCCGTATTAACATTTGAAATGTTTTGGTTTGCTCCTACAAGAGGCAAATGTGAAACACCTGAATGAACAGTGAGCCTTGCAACTTTGTTGCGGGAACTCCGTGCATCTGGCTGTGTAGAAAGAGGAATGTAGTGACCTTGAACAACATGGTTGTTGGAGCCAGAAGAGCTCTGGTCTAATTTATCACACACATACAACCATCTTTCAGGTTAATGGAGAGTAAACTGAAACAGAAATTATGCGATGAGCTGCAGATGCGTGGACAAAAATGGTCATAAGGAATGAACATATACAATTACAGATTGAATGAAGTTGTCGGAGCTCTTAGCTGACCCTTTTTGGTTCAGGAATATCAGGAGTATACCTGTGGATGGATGGACAAGTTGATACACAGCAATGTAGAATCAGTCCAGCTGTTGAACTGCGAGATTCACTGTTGCTATGTTCCTCCCCCACTTTGTTCTCACACTATTTGCTTCACTCCCTCGCTGTCTATTTGCTGTGCTAGCAACTTCCTACAGATTTTGAACCATACTCCTGGGTGTGTGTGTGTGTGTGTTTCTGTGTGTTGTATTTCATGGGGAACTGTCGGCTTTAGTGGAGACTTAACCTAGGTTTACTGGGTGAAGAGAAGAGTGTCGTTCTGTGGGTAGGTAATAAAGATTTTACTTTTATATTATCTGTGGCTCACTGCTGTGATTTTCTCTGTTATGCTTAATTTGGTTCCATACTTTGTTAATTAGTTGAATGAAGAGGTGAGGACAGGCTCGTCTTCTCAGGGAGGAGAATCAGGGTTCACAGGATGGAAAGATGAAGGAAGTCACAGTTGCTTATTTATTTTCAGACGGTTTATTTTCAAGGCTAACTCAGATATTCTGAAACTATGCAGAACAAAAAAAAAAACAACAAAAAAAAACAACGAACCCCAGATGTTTCCACAACTGGGTTTTATGCAGGGAATATTTTCAAGAAACTTGGTATTCTGAGTCTGGTATTCAGTTTTTCATTTTTATAAGCAATTTTCTACATAAATGAGTGATTTTATTTTTTTTATTGAAGTTAGCATTTAAATGTCTTAAAGACATTTAAAGTCTTTCAAATCCTTCCTTTTTGCATTCAAATCATTCAGCTGTGGTCGATGTAACGGTGAAATGAAGTGCTTTAGTCTGAATTGTATCATTGTAGTTCCACAGGCCGCTAGTTTAGCCCTGTTCTAATGTGCGTCTGAGAGCAACTTGTCTTGGTACCGTCTCTTTAAAAGCGAATGAGATACTTCACAGCCCACCCCCACTCCAGGTCACAGAGCGTTCCACTCCACTATGGTCGGCCATTTTTACAGTTTGATGTCAGAGATACGATGGTCTCGTAGTGCAGAAACACCAATGAATGCGTGTGGATCAAGACAAAGAAAACAAAAACAAGGGCAAACTGTTATTGTAATAATGCAGTTAAAACACAATATGGTTCTGTCCTCAAGGAGCTAACAGCTAGCAGACAGAGCTAACATAAGCAGAAGGCATAATGCAGTTGCTATTAAAATAATGGCCAGGATGACTTAATATCACCAAATAAATTCAAGTCTAAAATAAAGTCTGCCTTTTTAGTGTTATTCACAGCTTACTGATTTGATGTGTCTGTTGTTTCCATAGACAGAAGGAACTGACCCTTCACTAGACAAAGTCCTTTGGGAAATCCTTGATATTGGTGGAGAACCTTTTCAAAGTTCCTGGTCAAATTTAGCTTTTCTTGGAAATGTCCCCACATTGGTGGGGAAGTCCTCTGTGTTTGCACAAAGCACTTCAAGGAAGAGAGCTTTAGCTATGTGATGCTGTGTGCATAGGTTAACGAATTGTGTGGCTTAATACACCAAACAATCAAACATCTTGACTCATCCACTTGCAGCGAAAAATTGCTGTGAGAAATGAATATGGATGGATTTGCAAAACTGGTTAGCTGGAGGTCCTTGACCTTGTTGAGTAGTTCAGCAGCAATTACCATGACATAATAGTTAAAAATAAAATAAAAAAACAGAACAGACTGAAAACATATGACTCAATATATGCGTATTGTATGTCCATGTAACAGGGAAAGTCTCATCCAAACAAGAAACAAGTTCCAACCCTAAGAAGCGAAATAACAGAAGCAACAAACACCCAGCAAAACAGAACGTGCAACATGGTCACAACGATACAAGCAGCCTTTCAAATTAAAGTATCGCTGCTCTACATGCAAAACTCACTCAATCAGCTGCCAAGGAAGGCAATAAATAAGTCTTATTTCAGGACGTCAAAAAATATAACTTCAGTTTTACTTTTTGCTGTTTTATGCTCATAGTTTGTGTTGAGAGTAAATTTTTCCACTTGGATCTTGCAATCCATTGTCCCTGTATCACACTGATGGGATTCCTGACTGTTTTGGGCTTTTGTTGTCTTATGGATATTCTTAATAAAACTGTGCCGCTGCATTACCTCACATTTCCCTTGTTGATAAAATGCATTGGAAGAAAAACAATTGCCAACTGCTATAAATAATAACAACTAGAGATGCACAAATATATCAACACTAACATCGATATCGGCTGATATTAGTCATTTTTTTAAAAAAATATCTGTATCGATCTGATAAATAAAACTAAATAAAATAAGTTTATCAATAACCAGTATTTATTTTCATCTTGTTGCTGTTTGTTTCAGGATGGGAATAGGTTGGTCTGCAGTATGTGGTCATGTCAGTGACAGTGATGCAGCGCTGCATTGTGGGGTGTAGTGGTGAAGACCTCTGTGTGCTTGTTTTTTTTTTTTTTTTTTTCCCTAAGGGGCCGAAAGAGTAATGATGAAATATTTAAGATACATACTATT